CCGGGAGCCCGCCGCCTCCCCCCCCCCCCCGCCAGCCCCCTCCTCCTCCGCGCTCCTGCTGCCACGGACGTGGCTGCTCCGAGCGCCGGCCCTGCCGCGTGAGCCGCATCCGAGCCCAGGGCGCTTGGGATGTGGCCAGAGAGCATGAGGAGGGCAGAGGGAGCTCGGGTCGCGCTTAGCGGAAGCAGCGCTGGACGCAGCGGGTTTCCTGCCTTCCCGGCCACCTTTTCCTTCCTGGGATCCGCATGGCTGGAGCGAGAGCCACCTGCAACGGCAAGGAAGGGCAGAGCCGGTCTGGTTGCGTGCGTTGGGGATGAATGAGGGGACATGGGCCAAGCCTCAGCCCAGGGCTGAGCGTCCCATTCCTCCCTGGCCTGTCCCCTTCCTCCTTGGGCTGTCGTGCTGAGAACGGTCCCTTCGGCCCAGCTTTGGCCACAGCCACCTCCCGATCCCAGCATGGAGCCTCTTCCCAACGCTCCCTCCTGTCTCCATGTCAAGCTTGGCACGGCGGGTGCTGGAGGCTGCTCTCCCTCTCCCCTGGCCCTCTGCTCTCAGAGTATCCCCCTGCCCCGCAGGGAGGATCTGTTTCTGCCTCGTGAATCAGTGTTTCCTCCTGTGCCCAGTGCGATTTTCTTTCACTTCCAGGCAGCTTTTCTGTGTGGCCTTTTCCAAACTTATTAGGAATCAATACTCCATCCCCCCTTTTTGGCAGCAAGTGCCAAACAACAGCTTGGAAGGTGGCATCATTTGCTCCGTCCCAGGTGCCAGGTTCCTGGGAGGCAGGAATAAGCTGTCCAGCTGGGAAGCGCTTCTTGCCCCTCCACCAGAGAAATATCCAAGGGGAGACGTTGCTCCAAAAGGTTAATGTTTAAAATAGCTTTATTTATTATGTTTTAAAAGCTGGGCCGGGGGACGTGAGCAGACATGGGAGCTGCAGGGTGTTGCGCTGACGGGGGACCTGCAGCGCTCCAGCGTTCGCTCGTCCAGCGAAGGAAACCACTCGCTCCTGGCTCCAAAGCCCTTTTTCTGCACTTTGTTTTTCCGCTGAGGAGGGTAAATAATCCCGCTGCTGAATGGTGCACTTTACTTGGAGGGAGAGGCCTCCGTTTTAAGGCCTCCTCGGTTCCTGTTGGCTCTCCAGGACGCCTGGGCCCCGCCTGGCCTCTCCTTGCAGAAAAGCTGTTTGCTCCTCAGGTGGCTCCGCATGTCGGACCTTTCTCCTTTCCCTTTACAGAGCTGCCCGGATGCGCGGAGTGGCCGCGCACGCATGTCCCATCCAGCAGTTGTGTTATTTTTATAAATTAAACCCCCTTCGGAACAGAAGGAGCCCTGCGAGCCGGCCTCCCGCTGCCGCTGTTAATGTTTAATTGCCCTTTGACTCATTTCTCCTCCCCAGCTGGGGCTGGTTGAGGCTGGTGGGGAAGAGCCGCCCTCGAGGTGACGGTGGCGGCGGATGAGCGAGGATGAGGGGAGGAAGCAGCTGGGGAGGTGATGGAGGCAGCGGGGATCCTGGGTCGGGTGCTTCCTCCGTCCTCCCCGCATCCCGGCCCTGGAATGCGGCTCCCTGCTCTTCCCGGCTGGAGCTGCCGTCGCCCACCGAGGGGCTTTGCGTGAAGAGCGAGTCCTGCTGCTGCCGTGTGCGTCCTGCCATGGGGGCTCCGGGATGCAGATCCCAAGCAGGTTGCAGATCCCAACCGGAGCAGCAGTTTGCATCCCGAGCCGCAGTTCGGAGCTGCCTCCAAAGGTCTCCAGGATGGGAAGGCCTTGGAGTCCACATGGAGTCACCAGAGGCACCACGTGCCTGTCCCAGCACTCGTTGGAGCTGCCAGGGGATGTGTGGTGGGACGAGTTGTCCAGGCTGCGTGTGACCATGCCCACACTGCCACCCGAGGCTGCTACCTGCAGGGCACCAGGCCCTGCCCGGGGAGCCAACCCACCTCCAAGGTGAGCGGGCACGACCATAGGTCACCAACTGGTCCCATTTTGTGCCACCAAAGTGCCCCGGGGCTGGTAAAGCCCCTGTCTGCAGCTGGGCACAGTGTCTGGGCCACCTCAGTGGGTGTCCCAGGTGTCACCTCCTGGGTGCTGGTGGGGTCGGCGTGGACACGGGCAGGGTAGACGTGGAGCTTCGTGGCCCATGCGCCGCAGCCCAGCTCACTCACTGGGGTATTAATTACTGCACTCGAGCAATTACCTCCCTGTGGAAGCAGCTGAGGTTGCCCTGGGCCTCCCAGACAACGGTGCCGGGGACATCGGAGCAGCTGGCCCGGGACAAAGCGTTTTGGGCGACTCCGTGCGCCCTCCGCTCCAAGGGCTGAACCCAGCG